TGCAAAGGCAACAAAAGTCATAGAATCGTGAACTCTATTCGGAAAATCATGATCTAGTTCTGACAAACGTGATTTATGTTCATGCGTTGTGATTAATACCGTGAACCTTGTTCTCGAAAACGGGAACATGGTTCATGGACTGTAAAATGTCAACTTCATTATAATTACCAATATTTTAAATGGAGTGAGGAAGTGGAATGAAAACAACCGAAGCCTTTATTGCTGGTTTTACCCGCATCCCAAACTGCAGATGCAACAGCAGATGGAATGAACAGCTAGCTGCTTGCGGGGAGCCTTTCGTTGTGCACTGGAAAACACCACCACTCACCACACGGTGATTGAATAAACACCGTTTGGTGAGACCGGATGGAATTCAACTTTGAAATCTGTCTTAGGGAAAACGCTTTTTGCAGGCAATCGGTGATAATTTTAATTATAATAGCAACAGTTACACATCTATGCAATTTTCAATGATGACATTTTGAAAAATGATAAAGTCGAAACTTTAACAGATGCGTAGGAATATTTCTGATCGATTGGTAATAAAGTTATTGAAATTGATACAGGGGCAATCTTTCATAATTTTGTTACATGTTCCATTTTCCGTTTTCACAAAGTGTACCCCTATATAGAAATCACAGACGTAGTCCTACGTCGAAAGGTTATGGTAGTCCGTTCATGTTTAGGCAGACATGACAAATTTCAGTGCGATACTGTTTTTAGTTTTGTTTTGACAGCTGATTGTTGTTGACATGTTTGGCATCATGTTGAGTATTGATAAAAACGATTTTCGTTCTCTCATAAAACTTTATTTTTTGAGAGGCAAAACGGCGAAGGAACAAAAGAAAAGTTGGATAAATATTATGGTGCTAATGCTCCGTCAGATTACACCGTCAAATATTGGTTTCGAGAGTTTCGTGGTGGCAGCAATTCCACTACCGATCAAGTCCGTAGCGGCAGGTCCTCCGATGCGGTTACAGAGGACAATGTAAAAAAAACATGATATGGTGTTGGCTGACCGGAAAGTGAAGGTGCGCGAGCTAGCAGATACCGAACAGATTAGTTCTGAGCGCACAGGGCATATTTTGGGCGAGATTCTGCTTATGAAAAAGTTATCCTGCCGCTGGGTGCCGCGCAAGTTCACTCCTGACCAAAAACACGAATGCGAGAGCACTTCGAAAGGTTATGGCGTCGGTTTTCTGGGATTGTCATGGCATACTCTTCGTGTACTACCTCGAAAATGGAAAAACCATCAACAGCGAGTATTACTATAGAGGTAACTCTAAGACTAGTAGGTCCCGAAATAACATGCTGAACTTTTTGGCTCAGCTCTGGTACTCTCTTCGGTCCCAAGCTAATCGATTCACCCCTCGAAACATAGGAAAATCCACTAACCTCTTATTTTCTCTGTCAAACTTTCATAGCGAATCAAAACAAACATTGCGTAGTACTAGAGTTTCGACTAGAATGGGATACGTTAATCGTTTGCTTGGGACCAATAGGCTAGTCAAGTAGTGAGCCAATTTAAAATCGTTAGTTTCGTATTGATTGTTGGTATTACTGTGCATTATTGGAGCGATTCAAGGCCGAAATCGCTGCAAATCGGCCTCACATGAAGCGAAAAAAAAATTGTTTTTGCAAGGCAATGCGCCGGCGCACAAGACCATCGCAACCACGACCAAAATCAATGACTTACGGCTAAAATTTCTTCCGCATCCACCGTATTCACAAGATTTGGCTCCCTCAGACTAGTATCTCGTCCCAAACCTCAAAAGATAGCTCATAAATAAAAAAAATAAGCTGACGTGAGGATATCATCGACACCGCGGAGGAGTATTTTGCAGACCTTCCGGAAAAATACTTTTCGGACGGGATCACGATGTTGGAAAATCGCTGGAATAAGTGTATCGAGCTAAAAGGGGACGAGCGACGCCGGTGGTGTAGTGGTAAGCGTGGTTACCTCTCACCCCAGCAGGCCTGGGTTCAATCCCAGTTGGCACCGCCGGGATGTTCTGAGGCATAACATCTCTGAGCACGCCTTCCTTCGGAAGGGAAGTAAAGCCGTTGGTCCCCGGTTCATGAGTTGATGGGTCGATAGGTAGGGTCCAGGTGTGGGAGCTGCCTTCCTGGCGTCGGTAGCATTGGTGCTCAGCACGGAAAACAAGATCGACGGAAAACAAATCAAGGAAAAGAAATAAAAGGGGACTATATTGAATAAAATATTTTTTTTTTCATTCCCAAGGAGGTTACTTTTCACCCCACCCAGTATTATCTACACTTTGCCTTAGAGAACCACATCTTAGTTAGTCTTAGTTTCAATTCATAGCGTATAAATGTTTTGAAAATATTTAGTTGATCATTTTTGCGATTTTACCAAACATGAAGAACTGTCATTTATTGTGATGGAGTTAGAGGAGGATATGCTCTGCTTGTTGGATTAATTTCATTCATTTACACTATAAGTCACATTGACACATCACACAGGTCATTCATGGCTTGTTCGGGGATGAGATTTGAGCTCGTGACCTTCAACATGATGCTACGTCTGGCCAGTCCCCATATAATAGGTTTACATCTGTTTCTTATAGTATAATTTCAAAATGATTTAGAGCAATGATGTAGAGAAAACGTACAATTCAATATAGAGGGGACCATCGGCTTAAAGGAATACAGTTTCCATTCGGTAATTCGAAAAAATCGTGTTCGGACTACTCTCCCTTATCCGAAAAAAAAAAGAAAAACGGTGGTGGAACTTCTGGGGTAATATTTATAATACGACGCTGTCAAACTCAACGATTTGAAAATATAAACAACTAAATTGCTAAGGTAAACTTCGTTGCTAATCTTGATACTGTTGTTTTAAGCCTACTATAAATCAATTTTTACAACTGGCAGCGTAAATGACGCTTGTGTACTGTTAAAGCAGGCATCGCCGGATTGTCAAAAGTCATATTTAAAAGATACCGTGACTAAAGAATGTCAGATTATTGGTGGGTTGGGTGGTCTTTTTAATTCGACGCTGTCAAACTCAACGATATGAAAATATGAACAAACAAATTTGTGAAGTTACATTTCGTTGCTAGGTTTGTTTATTGTGTTCACAAATACTGGCAGAATGCCTGTCACTTAAAATTTTCTACGGAGTAAATCTCGAACACTATTGCGATTTCAAGCATGAAAGTTTCGGTAACTTTACAGAGCCGAAGATTCTTGTTCACTATACAATACATCTTAAAACTGTAGTCAAAAGGTACAACACAATAAACATTTTATCTTCCGCTATCCAATAAGCCTCCTCCACCAGAACGGGAGCCGCTTCCAGTGGTTTCATTGTATGGCAGATTCGTCAACGGGGGTCAGAGCGCTTCCATTGCAGCAATGGACGCAAAACGTGGTCAGCGCTCACACATTCACCACGAAACGGTTGTTTTTTAAAATTGTAAATTGTAGCTAATAACAAAACCTACAAAAGCTCTATTCATCATTTTGCGGAATGCTGTTGATGAAAAAAGTTAGAGGCAAATGAATGTAAATGAATGTATGAAATGAATGTAAATGATTTTCCATGCCTGCCGACGAGCCTTTTGAACATCTTGGATGATAATGATATTGGAACAAAATATCATGCTTGATATTGATTTTACAAGCTCCTCTGATATTGCGAGACTATTCCCAACGTGCAAACATTAAGTTGAGTTTGACTCGACGCAGAAATGATTCCGTTCCACATCGTTTTCTTAGAAAGAGAAAGTATAGTTTGCTATCTCTTTTTAATCTTCACCGAAGGCAGACACGAAATGACTGCTGCCAGCCGTTATGGAAGATTCGGTTGCATTCGGGTGTAAAGCAAAAATCATTAAACTCAAGCTCACCACAGTTTGGTGAGATTTGCAGTTGGTGAGTTTTGTTAGCTTGATATTCCGAGCTGGGATATCACAGCTTGCAAAATCAACCGCAGATGTTTGATTGTTGATTTTTGTCTACGAAAATTAAGCGTGATCTTGGGAATTGATTTTCAATATTTTTTCAACACTGTTTACAATATTGTGTGATGCATTTTATTGATTATTTAGTAAAATAGAACACTGGAGTACAATTGACGTGCCCTCCGGTCTTAGTTGTTGTTTTGTCATTCAAAACTTTGCTCTTAAGCGAGTGTTATTGTGCCTTATTGTCGATTTTCCTGGGACCAGGAAGTAATTTGATTAGCTGAAAGGGATAGCCTGAACCTGCTAGGTAAATATTGGTACTGGTTTTAAACATTCATTATGCCAAAACACTCTGGCCGAGAAAGGGTTAATAACACATAATACAAGAACGCTGAATACTAATAAGTCCTGTAGGTTTCTTTATTTAGCCTTCAAGCAAATCTGTAGTGCAATGTTGATATGATTTGATTTAACGTGTTAAAATTAAACAAGTTTTTTTTCATAAATACGGAATTACTTCATCTGAGAGGAAATGACATAAGTTATAAGTTCGTTTTTACGTTAAATCGTTTAGGCGCGCTATTTCCTGGGTTTATAAGGAACAAGTACACAGAAGACATGACAAGACAAGTCACTTTTATTAGCATTATCCCACTTTTCTAGAGTTCAGTTGAATTTGCAAATAATTATATCATTATAATTTATGAAATAAATAGATACAATATAGCCATATAAGTATATCGAGGTCACCTCTGGTAGCCTCGTTAGTGAATGCACGGTATACCAGCGGGTATGATTCCCGTTCTGATCTAAGTATTCTAAGGGTTGGAAATTTTTGTCCACTTCCCTGGTACAGAGTATCTTTGTCCTAGCTAAGTAAGCACTGATTCAACACATTTTTAATGTTTTCTATTTTACAGACCTTTTAAAATCAACGTTTGCTCGTTTATTATTTTTTAAAAAGAGATCTTCATTCGTTATATCTCAATCTCCATGGAGAGGCAGGAAAAAGATTTATATGTATAAGAACATACCGTGGTGGAATAAATATTTCTACTAAATACGACTTACCCTTTGACGGAGGCCACGCTCCGACTCCAGATCCTCCTGCAGCAGGCGGATTTTGTCCTGTAAGGAAGCAGAGACGAGATGGAAAGCTTAAAAACCGTGATTCATTCACCAGGCGGGACGGAATTGAACAACGATCACACTAAGCTGCCATTTGGTTGCCATCGCCATGAAACACCGTGCGTTATTTTTCGCAGACCATATTTCTTCCCCGTGGCGCAATCCAAAGTCACTTTTACTGTCAACAGTCCTAGTTCGAAATGTTTTCTTCTTTCTTTTTTTAATTTGCCAGCTATAATTCGCTAGTACGTTTTTCACACCAGTCACAATTCGCCGTCATATGCATCGTTTTTCTTAAAAAATGTTACGACTGTCATTTGCGTTTTTAGTCTCACTACTTGCACACTCATTCGCATTCCTTCTTCATGAAGCGGTCAGTTCTTCTTCGATTGCGCTCGAACATTTTTCCACGATGATGATGATACATTTCCCGATTTCCGTTTTATTCTTTGCACACGCACAATCGAGAATTATTCACACTAGAGGTGAATGTGAGTAGAAACCGGCTTTTGGGAGGGTATTTTTTTCTCTTTCAGGATTGCGCCGCTGTCAGCAGTTCTTACGTCCAATCCAATCCAATGGCTTATTCGCAGATTGGCATGGCAGCCAAGTGTCTTTTGATGTGTACAGCGGGTGGAAAATAGATGAGAGGATCTTTGATGGGAGAATTTGGCGGGGATTCTTGGGAAGCTAACGCCTAGTGTCAATGCTATTTCAGGTGCGTTCAACGCTGGTCGTTGCCATTGATAATGAGAACGGCGAGAGTTGGTTGGTTCTGAGGCAGCTCTAGACTCTGGGTTGGAATTTGCACTTTTGCCCGTTGTCGGGCCGGGAGTTTCTAAAGTTAGCGCAAGAAAATATGCAACGGCATCGGGGTACGCTTTGCGAGAGATTTATTTTGAAGTGACATTTCTAAGGAAGGTGCAATGCACGGGGATAATTGTCAAAAAAGGTTTCTGTTGGAATGTGAATCCGGGTGAGATATTATGTAACTGTTAAGTGCAAGTGTAAGTATGGCGAGGCGTTGTGCAAAAGTGTTGAAAAGTCTGTAACTGAAAACTCACCTCCAGCCTGGACAGGGCGCTAAGGTCAGCGCTGTACTCAATGCTGACATCGGCACTACCACCGCCAGTGGATTTGTAGGTATATTTCGAAGTTTTAGTAGTAACGGCAGACGACGACATTTTTGCTAAATATCTTCAACTATTTTCACTGGCCCAAAAAAAAACTCCAGCACTCTGGCACTATGAGAAATCACTAAAGTTTAACGCGATTCGCTTCCTTGATCCTTGATTAGAACGTAGAGCGAACGAGAAAAGGAGAGCGAGAGAAACACACAACCCCTAAAGAATCCTTTTCCAGGAACAACTCAGATTCACTTTCCACCGGCAGAGCTTGGGATCTATCCGTTCAGAACACCGAATGAACCGACTGTTAGGAGCACACTATATGCCAGAGATTTCATAAATGTCGGAGCAAGGTTGGTGATCTACTAACTCGGTAGCGACCAACTGTGAGTTGGTGTTGGGTTGCGAGAATCAGAAATCGTTATACGTTCAATCGAATCATGTTTGTATGGGAAAGTCATAGAATCGTACTGAAAAACGTGTGGTTCTCCTCCGGTGAGTAATTTTTTGGTTGATTTTCATTGAAATTTTCATCAAGTTGGCTGCGTTTGCGCGCTTCAGTCGTGGCATACTGCGATGTTATGGTGAGCACTTCCACCGTGAGTGACCCACATGTGTCACTCAGCATACAGCTGAACCGGTAGGCCTCATGTTGCTGTTGCTGGGTGCCGCCGCCACCATTGGCTGGCGTGTGATGGTCATTATTGTGTGGCGCAAAGGAGCCGTGACGATCGGTTGTATGGAGTAGTCCACATTGATCTGTATTGCGCACGCATCCTCCGTACGAACGGGTCAGTCAGGAGGAAGAAACACCAAATGTAAGTGTTGGGCCAAGTCAGGTGGGTTAAAATTAGCGCAACACGGATTGTTTTATTGTTTTATAAATATACGTAGTTTACTCATCTATCGCGTATGTGATGTGATGACCAAGAATCGTCGGGGCGTTGGAAATCGTACACAGTGTCGGCGCAAGTTAGCTAAAGGCCGCATGTCGGTTGGTTTTGGAATGAACATAGTACAGGAATATGACACAGTGAGGGGAATGAGTCAAAGAAAGTTTTTTGTCGTTTTGTTTTAAAAATGATTTTTGATTCATTACTTTGGCAATTAGTAGGGATTTAGCTTGAACGACCGTAAACAATATTGTTGGGACAAGTCATGTACCATTTCGGTAGAGGTAAAATTGTTTGAACCGTATAGAAGCTGATGATGTTTTTTTTTCATTTCCCATATTGACTTAAAGCATGTACTAAAGCTACATAAACTTGCAATATTTATTACATCATTTCAAGTTATTACAGTTTCGCTTTATCGAAACTTGTCATAACATGCACCACGTTTTTGTTTCAGAAGTTATGGTTCGAATTCGATTTGTTGTTGTTAAAAGAGTAGTTCTACTTATTGCAGATACATACCAGCGGTTCTCAAACATTTATTGATGGCGACCTAATTTTTGAAATTTTATAAACTGGCGGCCTACCAATATTGACGAGAGAGCAGTTCCACGCCAAATAACGAAACGTAAAACCTCGACCTTCTCAGATTTGCAGTATATTTTACGTAATTGTTTGTTGTGGGTAATGATTCTTTTGTTTTGCTAACATTCGGTCATTTTGGATCTTGCCAAATTTTAAAATTAGCGAGTTTGAAATTTTTCAAAAATGTTTTGCACATCTGATCGAAATAATGTCTGAGACAAAGTAGAGTAGAGACTTCGGCCTAATCGCCCATTTTGAGCCTATCGAGCTGAAAACATCAAATAACTACATGATTTCCGCGTTAACAATCAATGGTACGATACTTAAGTTCAAAAGCACAAAGTAAATCAGAACACGTCATATGAATGTTTGCATTAATTTTCTAAGAAACAAAAGAAGCGCTTAAACTGAATATTTTTTTATTTTCATTCGATGGGCGAAGTGAATTCAATGGCATTTCAATGGTGTTTCAATGCGTTAGGCCGAATTTAGAATCCGTAGGACGATATTGGGGTCAAGAATCAATATCAATATCTCTACAATTTGTTACTCTTTATGACATCTTACTGTACGTGCGGAAGGGTGAAAAAACTAGAAGTCATCTGCAGTGAAAACATTCCATTTTGTAAAAAATCCGCTTGAAAAATTAAAGCAAAGGGCGGGTTGTGCATAATAGGCCTGAAATTAGATCTAAGCCCTAGTAGAGGAAAATTAAAAAAAATGTTAACCTTAACATCTCAAAATGTCCTTATCCGATTTTTAAGTGTGCCGAAGTGAAGTGAGAAATGGTGCCCCCCCTATAATAAAAATCTACAAATCAACTTTACAAATTAATGATGGAATGGTTCATAAAATTTACAAGTAAGCTACCAGCCCATGGCTGAAAGTCTCCTTAATAAAGATATAAAAAAAAATCACAAGTAGGTTATAAAAAATTTCGAAATGCCAATCTAAGAATGACTATTAACGCTATGTGTATTTTATTTATAAATCCCAAATAGCTTTAAACTTATCTACTCCAGTCGCTTATCACAATGAAAAGCAAATAATTCTAAGTTCATCTAATGTAATTGGGTGAAAAGCTTCAAATCTACAACTACTATTAACTGGCTGCTTTATTTCGCCAGGTTTATCGACCAATTCAATGGATTGACTAATTAATGAAACACTGTCGAGAAAATAATCAATAAATTTAGATGCAATTACTTGTTCTGACTGTTCTAATGTGCCTTTAAAAGTTATGGACCGCGGTTTGCAATTAATAGGTTTTAATAAAGATTTCAAAATTTTCCATTACTCTTTGCTGTTGTTTTGATGCTGATCAATAGACTGATGCAAAATTTGAAATTTTGGCTCCACAATGCTCAAAGGGTTCCAAATTGGGCCCTGATTAGCCTCCCGAAATTTGAACTCATTTAGTGAGAAACTGATTCGGCACAAACCATTTGAAATTTATATGGGAATTATTTACTATGGAGAAACCATAATTTCGGTTCATATCTATCTCAAAATTCACCAGTTCACTCTATTTTAGAAAATGATAACTAAGCTTGTTGAAAATTTTCTCAGCTACAACTTTGTTAAAGATCACTTTTTGATCAAATGTAAGGAATAAAAATTATTAATGATTCAAGACACTGATGTCTTATGATTATGCTCAATCAACTGTTCAGCAGGCAACATTGGTGTTTATGCGCGTAGAATAGAGGACAAAAATCATGGCTACTATGTCACACTACAGAATACAGTGTTGCCCACAATACAGTTGCTTAATCTTGCCATAAGATTATCAATCTCTTAAACAATTAATAACTATTTAATTTAACGTTTTGCTGAAAAACGATTTCCTGCAAAGTTGTAGCTGATAAAAATTCCCATAAGACTAGTAATAGAACTTGTTAACTGTACAATATGTAAAAAGGCTAGAATACAATGAATAACAAGTTTTGTTTTCCCATAGTAATTTCCATATAAACTTCAAACGGTTTGTGCCAAGTACAATTTCTCCAAACTGTACCAGCTGTTCGAATTTTTCAAAGAAACAATTTCTTAATATATTAGAATAGTAGATTTCAAAAACTAAATCAATAAGATTGAATTAAGCACACAATATCACAACCAAAAAACTCACTCGAGAACAAAACTTAAACGAAAAACTAATTTAATCAAATTATCACACGCTAGAAAATGCAACCGCTCTACTTTGCTGCTCTCATAGTACTCCGTCCTTTAAGCAGATTCTTTCAATAGATAAAATATTAGTATCAACACTCAAAATTGTATCTTTAAATTAAATTGTAAAGTGTTAAGCAAGTGTATCTAATTTATTGATACAAATATAAAATTAGTAGCGGGTCGGTGGTGTAGTGGTAAGCGTGATTACCTCTCACCCCAGTAAGCCTGGGTTCAATCCTAGTCGGCGCCGCCAGGATGTTCTGAGGCATAACATCTCTGATCACGCCTTCCTTCGGAAGGGAAGTAAAACCGTTGGTCCCCGGTTCATGAGTTGATTGGTCGATAGGTAGGGTCCAGGTGTGGGAGCTGCCTCTCTGGCGTCGGTAGCATTGGTGCTGAGCACGGAAAACAAGATCGACGGAAAACAAATCAAGGAAAAATATATATATAAAATTACGATTAATTCATTGCAATAATCACTATTTATTGTAAACATCCTCATCAAAGAAAACTTAAGCATCAATAGCAGGGAAATGAGGGAATGAGGGAAAGCAACAATAGTAAATTCGACCGTTTGACTTGATATTGATCAGTTTCTTACATGATAACCAGACGTAAACAAAATGATCAATGGGTAATCCCCTTCAGGGTATTTTTGGAATCTGAGTACCGTCTATAGACCAGAAATCTATGTCTTTATATCCAAAATGGCGGATTCCGGTTACAGAAAAACTGGGAAATACTGTTAAACATCCTTCAACATGGGATTTTTTGGATTCGGGTAACGTCTAGGAACGCAAAATCAATGTCTTGAAATCCAAGTTGGCGGATTCCGGTTACTGAAAAACTTTGAAATGCTGTCAAATACCCCACAATAGGGGTATTTTCGGAACGAGGACGACGTAATTTTAAATTGATGTCGACGTAATTTTAAAATCCAAGATGGAGGCCCTTAGTTTTAAAATACCTGTCAAATACCCTATAATATGGGAATTTTCAGAACGTGGACAACGGGTCGAGACTTATAATCGATGTCCGATGGAATTATTTAATCCAAAATGGCGGCAATAAGCTTCAGAAAAAACTTACAAATACCCTACAATTTGGATATTTATGGAACTAGGACAACGTGTAGAGGCCGAAAATTTATGTCCGACGCCATTTTTGAAGCCATATATTTTTAAAAACATTTAAAATAATATACAATATGGATATTTTCAGAATGGGGAAGACACGTAGAGGCCAAAAATCAATGCCCGGCGAAATTTTGGAATGCACATCGCTTATAAAAAAAACCTATCAAATACCTTAAACTTTAACATTTTTTTCTGAAACCAATAGCGTCAGATTTCGATCTACACTTCGTCCCCTTTCCGATATTATCCATATTTTAGAGCATTTAACAGGTTTTTTTTCTGAATCTTAGATCCACCGTCTTGCGTCTGGCGTCTTGCTGCTGGCGTCTGACATCGATTTTCGGCATCTACACGTTGACACCGTTCTGAAAATACCGGCGTAAATCCCAGTATTCCTTTTTGACGTTAATACGTCTTTACTGGGACTATACACCAGCTCTCAACTGAGTGTTGTTAATTGAAAGCAACTTTATGAAAGTACAATCAAACTCGATGCCCAGCGAAGTCGAGATATTTTTCGACCTGAAAAATCCCTAGACCGAACCGGGAATCGAACCCAGCCGCCTCTATGGTC